ATATTTGCAATGAGATGATTACTTGGCAGTTTTTGTAATTAAACCAACAAGCTTCACTTGTTCGCAAGCTTCACACTCGCTCGCACGTTTTCTCTCTCTCTCAATTCATTCAAATTAATTACAATAAATATCATCTTGGTGCTACTTTACTTCACTAAAGAATTCTACCTCTAACAAACTGTAGATAAAATATAGCCTAACAAATGAAAATTACTGCTATTTTCCGTTATTTATCCATTCAGTCAGATTTTGTGCTGCAAAACATTCATGACAGCCACTCGACGTGAATTATATACATTTTAATAGCATGGCCATTCAAACCCGAAGGTCTACTATGTGCATAGTAAAGCGATAACTGTAGACAATCCTTTTGGGCGGGAATTAATTTAAACACAGATACAGATACCAGTCTTGTCTAAAGTGAATGTAAACAGGCGGGCCAAAAAAATCAGATATGGTTAAGAGATCGAATCTGTGCATTAAGACTTGCAGTGTAAATGCAGCCAGAGACTGACACTTGGTCTGGGAGACCAGAAGAAGAAACTTTCTTCCACCAAGAAGAAACTTGTCGCATTTGAAAGCAATTTTTACTAACTTTGTGTGCTTATTTTTACTTTTCTGTACTTTTTCTACACAAAGTAACATTCAGTTATAGTTCCTTGAAAATCTGATCTCAAGGGACATGTTACTATCAGGTGTAAAAAACAATCTGTCTCACTTGACTTGTGTGTTTACACATGGTTTTAACATCTGTCTTTGGTGATCCAATCACATGTACACAAAGCAAACACACATACCGTTTTGCCACCCTTCCCGATGACTCGTCCAGCGGCGGTCAGAGGCACTTTTATATGTGCCTCCAACTTCACATCTTCCTTAGCTGTGAAAAAATTCTCCTCTTTCAACTTCCCATATATTCTCCCCTGTGCCTACAGACACACACACACACACATACAGAAATGAGTAAAGGAGAAATGAGGGATGAATACAGAGATCGATGGAAAAAAACACCCTGGGTCCTGCCTAATGGAATCCGTCTCCTGAAGATCAGGAGCCTAAATGACTGAATTATGGCTTTTACCTTGAATTGAGCCTCTGGTGGTCCAGTGATGATGACCATCCTCTCAGGATCATCAGGATTGTCTGGTGCAGCAATCTGCAGTGACAAAAAACACCACTTTCTTTTTTTCATTCTGTCTTGATTTAAATACAAAAGACAACTTAAATTGCTAAAAGTCTGAGTGATACCTTAATAGACAGAAAAAAATGTAGTATTTTAATGAACCAACCTATATACATCAATATATACCAGTAAAACTCAATTTTACAGGTTAATGCCAGTTAGAAATAGCCCTTTAATGTAACAATTGCAGGTCATCACTTTTTACAGTGTATACAGCTCAAGTCTACATTATACTACAATACACTTTTGCTGGAAAACGAACACAATTCAAAATATTACAGATTTTTTAACATGAACTTTTTTCTAATCACAAGTTATAATTTAGACAAAACCCACAACTGTCAATCAGCTTACCTTGGAGCAGAATTCAGCAGAATTCACAATAAATCATTTAGAATTCAAAAAGTTTGCAAGGAACAAAAACACATCTAAATCAACAAATGTAAGATTTAGGGACAATGCAGCACTGGTGAAACTAGCAGTTCCATCAGCTGGCCCAAAACTGTAAAAAAACATCAAGGTTTTCTTATTTCTGAATAACAAGCCTTAGGATACAATCTGGTCCAAAACATTCTTTCATTCAAGCTTCGTTTCAAACTGGTTAATGTTCCCAATGAGGGAGTGATTACGAAGATTAAAGAAACCGGATTAAAGCCACTGTTAAACCCAAACACTGCGTAAGAACAGTTAAAGGATATGTTTGGTGTTTATCAAATTGTTCTCTGCAATACTTGATTCTGATCAATTGTGAGTATATTTGTCTACTGAGTGGACAAATATATATTTATATTGACTACAAAAATGTAAATGTCATTGCTGTCCATGGCAACATGCTGGCACCACTTTCATATCTCAAGATGAATAGCTTAACTGGCCTTGACATCAGTAATTTTATAAAAAAATAAACCTTTCGGTAGATGACTACATGTTCAGGAATCTCCAGTGAAATCAAGAAAACATATCTCAGAAAAAGGCACACACACACACACACAAATAATAAATAAAATAAACAAACAAAAAAATATTTTTCAGCCTATCGCTAAACGCTGCAGGTTTAGAGCATCATCAAAATCATCTGAAATGGTATGTCACAGTATATTTGTGCATCTTGGGAGATCTTTGTTCTTAAAACTGGATCCTGTTTTACCAAAGTCATTTTATGTATCTTTAAGAATATTTCACAATACAGAAAAGAAAGGGGACTCATTGGGTGGTTGTTTGACTGCATTCAATCCCAGGAAAAGTTTGGAGAAAAAGTATTTTTCTACAACCAATGAAATTTTATAATTACAAATTTTTTAAATAAAACACCCACTCCTTCTAAGAATACAGGCTTAAAGTTCTGTAAACATGGGCTTTTACTTTTGACAGCAACTCAAAATATTTTCATAGAGGGCAAACTTCCACATAACTGAACAGAAGTCAGTTCAGGTCAGGTCAGTTTCAAACAAATCAAAACACGCAATAGTCAAACGGTACAGTTTGGAGCACATGTTCATGTACACTCATAATTCTCTACAGTTTATCTTTAAATAGGGCCATCCATAGATAAACTAATTAATGGTGATGCAAGGAAATTAATGTGTTTTTTTAACCTTAAACAGCATAAACACATTTCATTACAACAAATACACAAAATAATGTTCTTTTTTAGCAACGTCATATGACCCCTTTAAGTGATATGTCAACTTTCAGCTTTGATAATAATAAATTCTTCTGTTAAAAGTCCCATCTGGATTTGATTTGGAATTAAAGTTAAATGTTTCCTTTATTAATTACGATAAACCAGAATGTTGTTGTAGGATTAATGTTTAGGAAGAGAAACAAATATTGGCCATATGTCACATTTATTATACAACACTTTTCACAATCCCTGTTGTTTCAAAGAGACTTTACATAAAACTGTTCCTTCATAACTCAACAAACAAATTACCATCCAACCACCAATAAACCTAAAAAGCTATGATTTACTCACATTAAGTGAAGCCACATCATTCTCATGGGCTTCTCTAAGTTTCTTCATGATCTCCACTTCTGCATTACAGCACTCCTCCACCCCTCCCCTCACGGTGATGGTACGTTCCTGGTTATATATAGTCAGCTCTTGTAATCTACGAAAAAATGAAGGAAATAAGCATTGCCACTTGAGGTGAACAACATTCAATACATACACAATTGAACCTCAATCCCATTACTGGGTCCCATCCTATGAGACATTGTTTAACCACAATCTTTAATTGATGTCACTTGTTGAAGATGATCTGTATAGAGCAAACTTACGAAGAAATTGTGATCTTGGTCCCAGTATCTTGCTCTATCTTCTTCAGGTTCCTGCCCTCCTTCCCTATGAGCCTCCCAACAAGGCTATTGTTGGCCAAGATCTTTAGAGGAACCTCCTCAACACTGATTCAGAGACAGAGCACACAATATTATTTTCCTTTTTTATGTCTTTTTAAATAAAACTGAAAACAACATGAGGATATTTGCTTATTTACATGGTTTTAAATAAAAAAAAGTCAATGCTAAAGCAAATGAAGCATGTAAAACTTTAATGTGCCCTACAGTCAGAAAAGATACTGACATCTTGGTGTCATTGGCCTCTTTTTCCATTATTTCCAGGATCATCCTGCAGGCTTGTGAACAGCCCTCTTTAGATGAGTGGATAGTGATGGCCTTCTCAGTTGCTCCTGCATTCTCCTTACGATGGATATCTACCCTGAGACAGAGAGCGAAGGATGACCTTTATCACATTTTTGAACCTCACTGTCACATGCTAATAAAGATGGATAGAGCAAAATGGAGATATAAGAATAGTTTAGAAATAAGAACACCTGAGGAATGTTAGTGATTAGAAGTGCTCAATATATTGTTAGACAATATATTATTTAGTTTCATTAACTAAAACTGTAAAAAAGAACATTTTCATTATTTAAAAAACCCTAAAAATAAATATATACCTGAATATATACCTGAAATAAAATATAAAAAACTGATGCAATATTTATCATTTTAATTTACTTTAACTTAATGTACTAAAATAACAAAAATTGAAATACAAATTAATAAAAACAATATATTTTATATAAACATATTTTGAAAAAAGAGACAAAAACAACAAAATTACTAAAACTTTTAAATTAAAATGAAAAAAATATAAAAATAATTACTGATTCAAATTTTTATTTAAAATTATAAGTTTCTCAATTATAATAAAATAACACTATATTATTTGCCAATTACTGGAAAAGAATTACTTATTACTTATATATATAAGATTACCTTTCCTTGAAACTATAACCCAGGAGAATAAGTTCTTAGGTTGTCAAAGAAGTCAACAAGTCGGTGAAACAAGTTTAACTTTAATCACAAATGTAAAATACAAAAAAAAATATTCAGGAAAACCTTTCAATTCTTGAATTCAACATCCATAAACACCTGTTATGCCTTTTCTTGTGTTACATTAAATGCCTTAAACACAAGTTTTTGTTCCTAAAGGCCGACGGATGACGGTTAGAAAATTGTTTCTTTTTCTCCTGCCTGAACAGGTCATGACAGGCCAAAATATTAAAAGCAGCAGAAGTGGCCAATAAAGAAACAGAACAGATACTGAAACATCAGAATAACCATAAGAAAATAATATAGAAATATACAAATACAGAAAATGTCAGAAATGTCACAAAGATACAGTGTTTACCATGTTATATTAGGCCTGTCATTCAAGCAGCATTTAAGATTTCAATTTCAAGTTTAAAGTAGTCAAACAAGAAAAACATGTCAAGACCCCTATATTCCATCCCTTTGTGCTACATATAGTTGCTTTTAAACACATGAACAAGAATAAACACTGCCTAAAATTGGTGTAAAAGGTTTTTCATGTACAAATATTTGCTGTAGTTTGTAAAAAAACAAAAAAACATGCTTTATTATACTAGTTATATAATAAATAATAATGCTTATTATGATTATCATATATTGCCTGAATGCATTATAAAGTAGCAGTTGACAGAAAGGAATTTTTTAATGTCTGATATCTTTGAAAGCACGATGGCCAATATATGTGATATTACACTATTTAATTTAAATAAAAAATAAAAAAACAAATATGTTGAACATAAATAAATAAATAAAGTTTTGATTCTGTAATCCTATTGTAGTAATTTTCAAAAACGCAAACTATAAAAATCACTAAACACAAATAAAATAAAATAAAATAAAATAAAAAACACTAACCAACAGTGCACTCAGTAATCTGTTAAGTTTTTGTGCAATAGAAATCATATTTTCTCAGACAGAGCACCACACACAGTGTACAGTACATGCACTTTTATACAGGCTATGCACACAACAAGATCTAACAGCTAAATTTGCCAAAAGTTATGAAGTTTGGGTATTAAATGTTTAGATATTCTTTAGACATTAGACTTAAGTCTTATAGTGCTTGCTTTTTAATTATTAAACATAACTTTTAAACAAAGATAGTCTGAGCTCAGGTGCTGGGATCAGCATAAAAGTCCCACTTCCTTCTCCTACTGGCCAAAAAGAAAAACTTATGATATAACCTTGATGATATATCGGTCAACCACTATTATGAGGCCCAAATTCTAAGCTTTTAAAAGTATCAAGTGAGTGATTTTTAGTTAGCTAGCTACACATTGGAAAAATGGTAACATCTATATTAATTGGTTTTATTCAAATCAAAAATAGGATTTAACATCACTGAATCAACCTGTATACATTAATTTATATAAGCAAAACTATTTTTAATAGGTTAAATGGGGTAGAAATACGAATTGCGGTTAAATTATTGTTTATAGGTGTTCATAAATGTCCTATCGATGTATTCGTATTAGTGACATTAAACTATGATAGCTATTGCATCTTTGTAAACAGAGCAATTAATTGGTGCTCGGGCCCTAATTAAATTGAAATCATTACTAATTAGACAAATACTGGTTAAAATGTTTAAAATATCAAGACTTCTTACTTGGACTGTGTCTGCTTTGTGATGTTCTTTATGGTGAGTCCCTCTTTCCCAATGATGGCTCCCACAAACTGAGTGGGCACTAGAATTCGTAGAGGCAGCTCTTGCTGACGATGCCTGGGCCCCTGGGGGCCTCCCATGGCCCCTGGCTGACCAAACTCCTGCTCCCGACTTCCTGTCCCCATTTTAGATGCCCCTCGCGGGACCTGGGGTCTTACACCCCCGTCCCTTCCTGCCTCCTCGTCCAGTATGTACGACACACCGAAGGAGTGATTCTCAAAACTGTGATCTGTCAACTTCTCAACAGCCCTGGAGAAGAATGAGAGAGAAAAAGATCAGTCAATCGTTAGATCAGTCACTGCAACGAGAAAAAACAACTGGTTACATTGGCTCTAAGACTTCTGTTACTGCCATGAATGGATTACTAAAATGGATGGATTCCAACCTTCAAAATCACTATATGTTTATTTCTCACATTTCACATAACCTGTTGCCGTGATAGCCACCTCACTATTAGGGTTGGGCAAAATGTAGAATTTAAGAATTGACGTTCATTCTTGAGGAATTTGAATTGAATTGGCCACATCCTGCAGGCTGCCTTGGAATTTGAATTTGAAATGACAAGAAGAGGTATTGCAATTCAAATAATGTGAACAGTCATGGAGCAGAAGAATTTCAGTAGTGCAACACAAATTTTGCAACAAAACATAATTATGACATCCCAACTCATAAATACAAACTTCCCAGGAGGATTTGAATGCACCAATATTCACAAGTTAGGAAGTTGCAATTATAATGTCAAATGCGGATGATGCCACTTTGGTTGGAGAAAGGTTGAGCACGATTTTGGTTTATTTAAATTATAGCTGAAATCTAATTCAGGAAATTAGCTAAAACTGAATCAACATCTCAGTTCAACTCTGAATGGTGCACAACCCTGCTCACTACAAATGCTGGTACAACATATTAAGATACATAAAACAAGGCACTGCATGTTCCACCTGAACCACCTTTTACAACTGCAACCTAAACTGTGACTGCTTGATTGATCCATTGCGACTAGTACTGCCATATAAATACAAACAGATCCGTTAACCTATTATCTGTATTATCCAATGGGGAGAAAATCCCCACGTTCACTGATGTGGAACCACTTCAGAAATCTAAATTAGTTAACGGAAACATTTGATGATAGAGGACGGGAGATCTGTGGTTTAAAGAGTTGTTTGAAAGTGTGTGTGTTTGTGTGTTAGCCATATGAGAGACGTTTAGGGTTAAACACCAGCTGGCAAGACTTGGCGACTGGTCCAACACTCACACACACACACATTCACAGAGGACTTTTATCAGCTGCTGGGAACACAGTTACTATTGTTTGAGGCCAAGTGTTCAGTCAGGCATGAGTCCCGGAGCAAATATTCTCAGCATCTCTCAGCTGATGTCCATTCATTCACAAATGTAATGCTATAAATGCAACATCAACTATGTGAAGTGTTGTCCAACTCCACAATGCTGGATGGGGTGGGACTGGTTCTTCAAAACGTCATTTTTTATCCACAAACAACCACTTCATATACAGTACCTTAAAACCAAGACCACCAGCAGCTTGGCATGTCACCTGCTTCATAGATGGGCAAATAGCATTATTGTGACCAGACTACCTGAGTTAATGAAAGTAGATTGAACTGACTACTGGTCACCCGATGTCACCAAGGTAATGCCGATTTCAATTTTTTTTAATTATCTGCATCAGATTTTGCTTGGTCAATAAGCATTGGATGTGGGACTTTCATATTGACAGCACCAGGACTTTTATTTCAACAGCATAAACACAAAGGAAGCATTGCAGCATATGTTATTTACTATCTATAAAACAAACATCCGAAATCATATATATCGGCTTTATATCGGTTATGCTGCTCTTGCAGCATTGGACATCAAAAACTTCATATCGGCATAGCTTTAATCTGGGCATTCAAAAGTAAAGCTTGCATCTTTCCAACCGTAATTGTGTTTATGTATGATGATTATATTGACTGGTTACTGAAAACAACATTGAGTGTAGTTCTCTCGCTGCAGTTACTAAGAAGCACAGAATGAGTAAATAACCGTTTACACAGGAAGCGTTCCTGGATTACAACAGAATAGAACAGAATGCATGCATTTCAACATGTTTTTTAACTTTATGCCATCTGAATGCTTAATGCAATGCACCAATAGACCGTCACCATCCTACAGAACGCAATGCCAACAACCAACATGTGAGCAGGGGTATATGATACACTACAAGCTATCACCAGCTGCATGTCTGCAGTCTAAATGACCACTACTGCAACAAGAGCAATAACCTACAGCTCCGGTAAAAGTCTGTATATTAGGTGAGATTCACTTTAATCAAGAAGAGAAATGGCCAATAAAACTACACATTCACAGATTTGTTCAAAGCAGGTGTGTGTGCACACCAGTCAGTTGAACTTGTAGCAGGTCACAGGAATAAGCAAGACTCACTATCAATCACCTGTGACTGTAGCAGCCGGGTGACATAACATGCAGCCCTCGTGGGCCAAATGACATCACTGGCCATAAGATCATCACTAGGCTACATCACCTCCACTAATGGGGTCAGATGAGTGTCAGTTACTGTTCTGACATCACCTTTGACTCAACTTTTTTTGGGTCATACCACAGTTCACACTGTAAAGAGTGGTAACATGTAGCTTTAAAATATAACCCTTCTAGATCTAACCCTTAAAACTATTTTAGTTGGTGTAACAAAAATATCTCATACGGCTGAATCAGCCTAAATATATTTTGACTTGAATAAAACCAGTTAATTTACACTACCATTCAAAAGTGTGAGGTCAGTACAATTTTATTTTTGAAAGAAATTGATACTTTTATTCAGCATGGATGCATTAAATTGATCCAAAGTGAAACAAAAGGCATTTATAATGTTACAAAAAATTCTGTTTCAAATAGTCAAAAACAGTCCTCCTAAAAATGTTTCCACAAAAATATGAAGCAATAGAACTGTTTTTAACATTCATAACAATAAGAAATGTTTCTTGAGCAGCAAATCATCATATCAGAATGATTTCTGAAGGATCATGTGGCACTGAAGACTGGAGTAATGATGCTGAAAAATTCTGCTTTGCATCACAGGAATAAATTACATTTTACAATATAATCACATAGAAAACAAATATTTTAAACTGTAATCATATTTCATAATATTACTATTTTTACTGTATTTTTGGTACACCACCCCCACCAACCCCAAACTTCTGAACAGTAATGTAGATGTTTTGTTTGTAGGTTACTTGATTACATTTTTTTTATGTTAACATTTTTACAGTCCCTCCCTTAAGCCATAATGAATGATTTAATTGTTCCTTTAAGGCTGTGAAAACAAATATTGTACAGGGTTAGAATTACATCAATAATGAAATGACAATAATAATATTAAAACATTTACAAATGTTTAAAATCCACTTTCACACCACTGTCTTTTGAAAACCATCCAACAGGAATTTTGTATATAATTACATAATATTTACTTCTAAACCTTTAATCTGGTTTTGACTGTTAAATGTTTGAGATATTAAAGATGAAGTAATTTACCTCACTGTGTCCACACGTTTGCTGAGACGGATACAAACATTAACTGTGCTAACTGAACACGTTAGCGCTGCTAGAGATCATCTTCACACAACACCCTGCTTTTCCGGTTCTGCAGACATGCTGAGACTCCTGTCAAGTTCCACTATTTTAAACACACACCAGCGGCACACCTCCTTACAGAGAAAGGGAGACGATATGCTCATAGAATGCAACAATGCGACTATCCTGACAGGGTGCAAAAGACACCAATGTGCCATGACAGTTGCTCCACCAGCCACGTCGTTTTTGGTGTCACAGATCAATGTTAGTCATGTAATAGAGGTTTCAGGACCAGACAGGTGTCAGGACGGGTCTCCACCCATGTGTTTAGAGAAGCCAGGAAAACTTGATCTATTGCAATGAGTCACAGACTAAACCTAGCCAGTTGTCAAAGCACATCAGGGCCATGACCAGAGAAATACAGGCAACTATACTGAAACTGTAATGAGCCTAAACAGTCACGCAGAGTGTGTTTGAAAGCCTGCACATGACACATCACATATGACGTGAGATCTTTAAAATGAACTCAAAGGCATCAAGACAAAGGCTACAAGAAACATTAGCTTTAGTTTTGGTGATCTGAGCCTCAGGCTCTAAATGAACAGCAGGATGATGGACAAACAGCCCCAAAGTCTTTTATCTCCAACAAATCTGGAATAACTGGCACAAAATAACCAAAAACAAAGTCTAGAACCTGTTGAACTCAGTTACTCCTGCAAGTAGATGTAGGATATGTTTGAGACTATATAATTTAATTAACCCGATTTCCCACTTCGTCTCTTAATCACTTAAGCGCATAAGTGTCCTGAAAGTGTGCGAAGAGTCAGAGCCAAGAAACAGAGCAAGTGCATTTTCCACTGGGACAAACGATGTTGTATTATGAGCTGTAGCAAAGGTATATCAGCTGTTTGGAGAATGACAAAAAAAAAAAGTAAGTCTCAATCTTGGACTCTTACTGTATACCAAATGAATGGAGGTCTCTACAGCCAAGCGCTAGGCATAATCGCCCTCAGTGCTTTGGTGTGGAGGAAAAAGAATTTAGCCTCCTCAGCAACTAATGCCTCACCTTAATCAGATCTGCAATATCTAGTCATCTATACTAGCAGTATGACATCTGGAGGTCTTGATCGGCTCACAATCTGCTCTAGCAAGTGTGGGACCCCCTGAAGTGGACGGGTCATTTCTGTCCCATTGCCAATCTCAGTCAGAGCTACTGCCAATGGGATCAAAGCTAAGGCACTACTGACCCCTTAATACACTGAGTGATCCATGTGAACCTTCACCTTGGCTCTTTAGATGCATCTATACTAGTCGAGTCTGAACTTAAATGCCACTTTGAACTAACCACTCGATAGTCTTGGGAAGATTTGCTTTAGAAACCAAATATTATATGTTAGTCCTTCCAACGTTAGATGATTAATAATAAAAACCTACTGAGCTGCACATAGAAACATTTAATAGTATGCATGAAATGTCCTCCTAGACCAATTTCTAAATGCATGATATTCAGGGTTTGAAATTAATACCTGCCAAATGTAGGTGACAATTAACCATGTCGGGTAATACATATCAACTCAATAGCCAAATTGATGGGTTATGGTTCATAAATTATGTCCTCCAACCAGGAGCCTCCAACATTAGCCCATTAA